TGTCCAAAACGCACCAAAACATAAACAATGACAAGTTCTTTATGTATTGAAGTCAAATATGGAAAGAAAAACCTAAATTGGAGTTATGGGTGGTTTCTTAATAACATCAGAAAAAGTCCTTTCATGATATAAGAGGATAGATATTAACATAATACTTTCTATAGTAAAGTAGTCTCAGTCATTTTGAAGATGGATGATGACGTTCTTAAAATTCCCCTTATGCCCTGAATCAAAGAATTTTTTCTTAGTGGATTCATGGGAGGGGCATCCAAGAGGAAATTTTCTAGTGAGTGTAAACTAGAAGGATTCGATTACTGCATGATACTTCGTTACAATGGAAATAGTAAAAAATCTTTAAATAAATTTAGGCCTCCTTAGGTTCAACATTGATTATCAATATACCTACCTGCTAGAGTCTTAGGGAAAGACTTTACGGCATTTTTTGTGTGTTGGGGGGGGGGGGGGGGGTGTGGTGGGGGGGGGGGGGAGAGAGAGAGAGAGAAAGCCCTCAGCCAAAGTTAATGAATCCATGGGGTTTCACAAGCAAGTAGGGTGTCAATTCGTGTCAACGGGTCATGTTCGGGTCAAACTAATTTTGACTCGACTGTTTCTAACCCGATCCAAACCCGAACCGATTCAAGTTTTGGGTCGATTTTCCTAACCCGGATTGGGTTCGCATCAACCCGACCTGACCCGTAATCTATTAAATGCATGAAAAATATAAAAATTGAAAATTTAATTTGCAATTAAATACATGAAATTTTGCAAGGTAATCCATACAAAAAAACTTGTAACTATTATTTAAATTGTTTAGAAATTACAATGTTACATATTACATTGATTACAAAGTACATAATTTACAAATAAACTCACATTACACTTCTTATACGGCTACACGTGAACTTGAAGAATGAAGATATTATTATACTTGAATTAACTGCAAAAAAAATGCTTAAACACTTAAAGTAATAAACAATATCACGAGGATCTCTTTTTTTACAATTTTGTAAATGACATCTTAAATTGCAAGTGCCATGCTTGCTGCACACTGATATATTGCCCCACATTTTCTACATTTACATCTCTTCTTGCCATCACTAGGAAGGGGTAACATCTCATAAAATCCCCAAATCGTTGAACTCATCCTTCTTCTTTTCTTCGTAGCAGCCGAGTCATCTAAATCTTTTTCATCAATATTACACAAATCATCATCATCATTTTCAATGTCAAACTGAAATAGGAGCATTGCCTATTTGCACATTCTCATTGAATGGAGTACTTTCAACAATTATATTAGAATCCTCCATCTAGCAAAGCCCATATGAAAGCACTTATTAAAGTTGATGTAAATATGAACTATGAAGGTACAACAGATAACGATTGATGATTCCAATAATATTTAAAAAATGAGTCAATAACAAACAAATAGCATGTAAATAGCTCCTAAAATCTATTCCCTGTGAGCATGTAAGTAGCATGTAAATAGTTAAATGACCTGCATGTCATCATTGCTGATCATGTAAATAGGTAAAAGACCACAGGTCCACAACGGCTCCAACATGTCAGCATTGCTATCACAATAAAAGCATGTAAATAGGTGAACTGTAAAACAAATACATGGCTAATGCTCATCATGTAAATAGGTATAAGGCCCCAAAGTCCAAAATGACATAATAACAGACGACGAACATCAAGAAAGAGATTTCGGATAAGACGCAAATCATGTAATCATATATGAATAAAAATATTTAAAATCAGTAAAGAATATAGGATAAATAGTGATAAATTATCTATAGGGTTTGTTAATCACACACGCAGCACCTAGGGTTCCAATTTCAGAAGCTCAAAAATGAAAAAAAAACTTGTGAAAACTCATAATAAATACTACAAATCTTGCCAAGCAATCATCCTATCACCACATTATCTCCAAATGCAAAAGGGTTACTGGTTGTCTATATATGTCGGTAAAATCTGAGGCTTGTGAGGAAATATCTAACTATGAGGGGAGAGAAGGAAACTTGAATTCATCACCTGCGATTCTTGAGAAATTGAGCCTACAACAACCATTCAATAATAAAGAATGCAGATGGAAACTAGGGCAAGGGCCAAGGCACGCAGTGGAACAGAGAAGAGAAAAGACGAATTCGAAAATCAGAAGACGCAAGTCGAAACGCGCGAAGTATTCAAGTTACCTAGCACCGGGCCATATTAATAAGAAGTCGGGTAAAAAATGAGTTATCAGGTTGACCCGAACACAACCCGAAACTCAAATTGGGTCAAATATTTGAACTCGAACTCGACCCATTTTCTTAACCGGGTCAACCCGAACCCGGAATTTCTTAGATCGGATTTCGGGTCGTGTCCAAAATTGACACCCCTACAAGCAAGACAAGCTAATACCTAGGTCCTGAAGGAAGGAACTTCATCCACCATGACCACAGGAAGGATAAAATCGGCGGAATGAAAAAGAAGTGGAGGAAGACATCTATTAGTTGCATATCAACCTTAGGATTGCATAAGAGATGACTTTGGAACCATCTTCATGAGAATAGGACTTCAACCGATTGGATTTGCATGTGATGCTACTCCTAATTGCCACTGCCACCCACATGGTAGATTGTAAATACTACGCACCCAACCAGTGTGGGCTCCAAAAATTCTCGCCGGCCTCTCCACAACCCTTTCTTTTTTTGCCAGCGAGAAGAGTTTTAATGAGTTTAGGTTCCGGAGTAAATTTTTAGAAGACAAATTTAAGTTTTTAAATAAGGCTCTATCCAGAGATTTCGCCCTTATTTTATGAGGATGGATGTTGCATGTATATTTATATGTTTGAAATAAAAGCATGTATGTATGTTTGGATGTCTGTTCGAATATGACACAGATGACTTCATTTGTAGTTTGTGCTATGGAAGAAAGAAATAATTTTGTGTAGCTTATGCAATGGAACATGGGAATAATTTGAGATATTTATAACAGTGGGGGTCGATTCATAAGCCAACCATCTTACAATAATCATTATCATCTTCATTAATCCTCTATTGATTCTTCTTGGGCACTCAGGATTCCTAAGCAGGATAGAAAAGATAAAATGAAATTTAATTTGTATAATGGCATTTGACGTACTTCTATCCATACAGCCTGAGATGCAATGTATAGTGGAAAAAGAAACTTTGCACTCTAAAAGAACCTTCATTCTCACTTTTTCTAGATTACGTTTCTCTTTTCTGATTGAAGTTTTAATTTTTCAATTCATTCCATTTTCACGTGTTAGATCAACTTTCCAGGTTGATAACCTGGTGGCAGAGATTGTTGAGACGAGACTGGGAAAACAAGTAATTCGTCTCTCTTGAATATCTTTGATTTCCTTTCTTTTTTGCCCAAGTCTTAACCACCCTTTGTTCTTGCTCAGATTTCAAGAATACGGCCATCACTATGTTTCATAGGGGCTGAGGAGGTGATGAGTCTGGTAACTGCTCAAGGTAGTCTTACGGCTCTCAATTTAAGATATTCTATGCATCATTAAGTGCGGTAGCTTTATAATAATCACTTAATAATTGCTGATAGTGGCTGAGTGTCGTGAACTAAATGAGGTCTGGAAAAACATTCTAAACGCTGAAGGGGACGAGATATACCAAAAGGTAGCATCTTATCTGCCAAGTTTATTTGAATAAATGCACATTCAAATTGTCAAAAGTTTTGGTCAAAATGGTTGCAGGGAATGAACAATTTGTAGTTCATTTATGAATCAATTCTTACAGTGCTGCTTATCAAAACTTTGTTGTAGGAAATTGGTTTCTACATGAAGAATGGCGAGACCCCATCATTTATGGAGCTTTCTGAGAGAGCCATTTTACGTCGTGAAGTTCCAATTGGTTATGTCAAAGGAAATAAGCTGGTAAAATGCTCACTCTGTATCCTCTGTCCCTGAATATGTTGCACACATACACCTATTTATGAAGGTGTGATGTATCCGATACACGGATATGCCTCCGATACGGCACCGACACGTGTCGGACACGGCTTTGCCGTATCCTATTAAAACACTATTTAATTTCAAAAGGACACGCGTATCCGATACACGTGTCCGTTGAAAAATAAAAAATTCGGAAAAAAAGACCCATCGTATTTACTTCCGCAGCTGCGAGCAAGGTTCTCTCATTTCCGAGATGGATTTGAGTCTCTTGATGATATGGGAATATTAGAAATTGCTATTCTTTCACTTGATGAGGCTAAATTAGAAGCTATGATATTTATTGAAGATAATATAGAAGTTCAAAGACAAACCACCGAAGAAACTAATCAATAATCATATCATTCCTTCTATCGAATAGTTGAAACTTCATGTGCTAGACAATTTATTTTTATGCTTTTGTTGTTGTACTAGACATTTAATGCTTATTTTTATTTTGATATTATAAGCTACAAATGATGTTACTTTCATTTTTTTATAATTTCAAACATTATGCTTTGATTGTTTTCTTAATTTTTATGTATGATTTATAAATTATAATATCATGCCCGCGCCGTACTTGTATCCTATATTTTTAAGAATTGACGTGTCCCGTATCCGAATCATGTCGTATCTGTGTCGCGCTATCCGTATTGGTGCAACATAGGTCCCTGATATCAAAAGCATTATTTGAATGATCTCTCACTACTTTTCCTTGGAAATTTTTTTTTTGTAGGTCATAAATCCAAGCAACAAGTCAGAGCCACTCTCCTTTGATGTGACCGATTCACTCATCGTAATCTCTGAGCTTGAAGGCCAGCAGCCAATAGTTTCCTAAGATGTAAGTTTTGATTACTTTTTAAGAGCTAAATTTCAAGACACCATTGTTATCTCCATACAGGCTTGCGTGTTTCATAGAAAGTGTAAATACAAGCAATAAAATATTGCAATTCGTACTGCCTTATCTGTAAGTACAACTATTGCTAACTTTCAGATCATGTGAGGATAATTCTTTCATAATTTGTTATATTGGGACAGCTAAATTCCCTCATTGATGTGTCACTGTTTATTTGAAGTCCTATAGTTGAGAGAATTGTTAACACTGAAACAGTTATTGAGCAAGTCTTCAACACATAAAAATGATTATTCATAATAATGATTCCATTCAAATTTCACTATATTTTGAGTTAATATTAATAATAGATTAGGAATTTGATAAAATTCTTCAGTAAACCTCATGTAATATACTGCAAGGCATAGAAAAATTCTTCAAGAATAGTGGTAGGACTAGGCCAATTTGGTATAGCTTTAGATTTCGTTTGGAACAACTTTTTAGTACAAAATTTTTTAAACCAAAATTTTTTTATTAAAAAGCTGCTTTAGAAAACAATTAAGGCAACTGTCTCAACAAAGCCTTATGCTTTGTTTGGGATGGCTTTTTTATTGTTCTTAAAGCAGGTTTTTAATACAAAAAGTAAAATTTTTGTACGAAAAAGCTGTTTTAAGAAGCAATAAAAAAACTGTCTCAAACGAAACCTTAATCTTATTTGGATCTATTGAAATACCCTCAACATTGATTATATGCCTAACAAAGGACATATTTCAACCAAAATTCATATTTAGATAACTTTGCATATGGTTCATTCTCTCTTATTTGAATCTAATGATGAAGGTCCTTAGGGAATCACCTGTTCCTGCCCCTCTTAAGTGGTCTCTAAGTGATTGCAAATTATGCAATAAACATTCTCTTGAACTTAAAGATGGATGCAATGATGCCAATAATAAGCGAGCAAACCATCAAATGGTGGATTCCTTTGAGGCGGTGAAGAAAAATCTACACTTGAGGGTGTTGTTAACATTCATAAACAATATTGTCAAATCAAAATACATCACATGGTCGATAGGTTTAAATCTTCCTCATATGAATCCAAGCGGGTCATTTGAACTTGGCGTGTGGCTTAAATTCTGTAATTTCTGTGGAAAGTGCATTAGCTGAGTATGACTCTCTGCTGCTTACGCGTGTAGTCGTGTGATTAGAAGAGGAACAATTATTACGTCCTCCGACCGGACGTAGAGGAACATCCGATCGGAGGCAATTTCCCGCCAAATACCGAGTTGTACCGAGCAAATACCGAGCAATGTCAAACAATAACGAAGAATACCATCATTTGAAGACCCAATACCGAGTTATATCGGGCTTTACCGAGCAAATACCGAGTTATACAAAAGTTGTACTGAGAAAAACTCGGTACAACTCGGTATTTTCTCGGTACATCTCAATATAACTCGGTATTGGTCTTCAGAGAACGGTATTCCTCATTATTATCAAATAATATCTAGTTGTACCGAGCAAATACCTAGTTTTTTTGGCGGGAAATTGCCTCCGACCAGACGTTCCTCTACGTCCTTGCACCGGATGAAATAAAAGTTCTTAGAAGAGTGCACTATAGCATTGGATTCTCTTGTTCAAGCTGTCGAGTAAGAGGAATCCTTGAGAGTACTCAGTTCGATTCTCCAATTCTAACTCGCTAATAACTATTAGTAAGGCCAAATGTTGCTACGTAGAAATTATTTTCTGTAAAAAATAAAATAATATTAGAATATTTTGATATTATGTCAGAATACAAAATAAATACATAAAATTAGCAGATGAATGTTAAAAAAATAGAAATATATTTAAATAAAATTATAAAAAAAAATGATACTAGAAAAAATGATAAATTTTCTACCTGCTCAATATAGGTTAAGTACTTGCTCTCAACTCTTTAGTATATAATTTTGTCTATTCACGGAGGAACTATTTTTATGATTAGAAATCGTAACCTGAACAAATTAGCCATCTTTGCTGTGAAAAAAAAAAAACAATCAAACACTTATTTTTTATGTGTTTGTTATCTATTTCGTATTTTTATGAATTAATTATGAAGTAATTTTATTAAATATTTAAATTTAAAATTGCATTATAAATTTATATAAAATATTAAAAGTTTATAAGCTTATGTCAAATAAAAAATTTATTTTTGAATAATTGTAAAAATAATCTCATCAATTTCAATATGGCTATTTTAAAGATATTTAAAAAAAAAATATTAATTTCAGCACATCTTTGTGAAGATCATTTTTTGTTTTATTTTAAAATTAAGTTTTTTTTTATTTTTATTTTTTTGACTTGAGAGATTCTAACTTTAGAAACCAATTATAAATATAGATAATTTCAAATTTAGGATTTTCATAGAGAATTTTGAATTTATATGCCATATAATAGCGAAAATTAGGAAAAATGCTCATTGCTTGTTTTCTTGTAGAAGTATGCTAAAAAAAAGTTCATTTTAAATTATGTTTCTCTTGTTGTGCTGGCTCACTATTTATTCAAGCCCATCCCAAGATAAAAATGGTTGATATCAATTGAAATTGAACTTTAAATCAAACATTAATTTAAAATTGATTCAAACTTGGATCAAGCTTGTGTCGACGAAGGTCACTAGAGCAGGCATTGTGAGACCGCAACATATTATGATTGAAGTTTAGTGGGGGCTCAAGAGAGTTGGATCTCACACAATCGGAGTTTGCATCGTGAGACCGAGAAGTACCTTGACATGGTCGGAGTTAACTAAGGGTTAGGATTATGACTGATAAAGCTCATTATAACTTGCCTCGTAGAACGTGACCAACAAATAGGAACTTGGGAGCTATGTCTGGCTATTGACGAGAACTAGGGACTGGTGGTGTGACATGATCTTATCAGAGAAGGAAGTATGGGACTTGCTATGTGTGAAGGAATTTTCAAATTAAGTTTGAATAATATTGAGATTAGATTTAAAGAAGATTCAAATAAAATTCGAATTCTAACTGGTTCGAATTAAATTTATATGTGACCGACTTCAATAAGAACTACGCAAATGCAAAAAGAGTGACAATTTAATCCAAAATAAACTTTTTGCCATGTTTGTCCAAAAAAAACATTCATATTCCTTCAATTTCATGTATTATTGAGCTTAAGATCAAATTTTCATATTGAGAGAGAGAGAGAGCTGCCGGGTAACCGTGACGTCGTGGCTCTTGTCTCGGGAGGTCTCCTCCGGCGAACATTTTTCTCTTCTTCATCTCTTTCCGTGCAATAATTCGACCGTCCCTGGCTATGAGACCTTTATCTATGATCCAATTTAGAAGATTCAGTTCACCTCTCCCAGTGTTTTTCACTTCCATTTGCTTACCGTTTTGTTTGTGTTCTTCTTCTTTTTTATCAACAGTAACCACAAGTAGCTGGGATCCATCCGTTTCTCTAGTTCTCAAGCACCCCATTCTTGTCTTCCTCGAGAAGAGCTGTAGAACCACTCACCATTTCAGGCAAATCTTAGCCCAGATGATGAGGCTTCATCTCACGGCCCAGACATTCCCCATGAGTAGGCTTCTTTACTTTGCCGCCGTCTCCCACCCTGAGCATCTTCTAGAATATTCCATTCTTCTCTTCGAACATTTCACACCCAATCCCAATCTGTTTATTTTCAACACCATGATTTCAGCTTCGTCCTTCTCACTAACCGAATCAGTATCCATCTACAAATTAATGCTTTGCTATCAAATTTTCCCCGACGAGCAATCCCTACTTTCCCTCCTCAAATTATGCGATTGCTTCTTGGTTGCCAAACAGATTCATACACATATTATTATTAATGGATTCAATTGCCATGTCTATTTGCAGAATTCTCTTATCAATGTGTACACGGCGAGTGGGAAGCTAGATCGTGCCTATCAGGTGTTTGAACAAATGCCTCTGCAGGACGCAGTTTCGTACAATATCATGATATCTGGATATGCGAAGAAGGGTTATAGCTTGCAAGCTTTAGAATTGTTTCGTGAAATGGTTCGCTTCGGTATTGAGTTTGATCACTATACTGCAGTAGGACTCCTGCAATCATGTGGTCAGCTTAAAGATGCGGTTTTGGGGAAGTCTGTTCATGGATTGGTTATAAGAAGATTGTCATTATCTGAGTCCTGTCTGGTTTTGAGCAATGCTCTCATGGACATGTATGCTAAGTGTGGGGAGATGAGGATATCTATGAAGGTTTTTGAGGGGCTTGAGAAGAAAGATGGTATATCATGGAATATTGTCATATCTGGACTTGCCAACGCTGGAGAACTAGATATTGCTTGCGAATACTTCTACCAGACACCCATGAGAGATTTGGTTTCATGGAACTCGCTGCTTTGTGGATTTGCCCGTAAGGGAGATTGGAGAGCATTAAAGAACTTTTTTGAGAGCATGGTTGCTCAACAAGTCAAACCTGATAAGATTACAAGCATGACGTTAGTTTCTGCTGCTTCAGAAATGGGAGTTCTGGATCAAGGAAGATGTGTACATGGGTGGGTGGTGAAGGCGCATGGAAGTTCTGATGCATTCTTAGGATCGGCACTGATAGATATGTACTGTAAGTGTGGAAGCTGTGAGATGTCTCTTCATGTTTTTGAGTTGATCAAAGATAAGGACATTACTACATGGACGGCCATGATCACTGGACTTGCATTCCATGGCCATGGAACCAAAGCTTTAGAAATGTTTGGGAAACTTCAGGAAGGAGGCCTAGTGCCTAACTTTGTCACCTTGATTTCTGTTCTTACCGCTTGCAGTCATTCTGGGCTGGTGGATCAAGGTTTAAGAATTTTCAGTAATATGAAACGAGAATATGGTGTCGAGCCAGGAGTCGAGCACTACGGTTGTCTTGTAGATCTTCTTGCTAGATCTGGGAAGCTTACTGAAGCAAGAGATGTGGTTACAAGGATGCCAATGATGCCAAGCCAATCAATGTGGGGAGCTATTTTAAGTGCTAGCAGAGACCATGGTGATATGAAACTTGCTATGGAGGCATTAGATGAACTTGTATTGCTGGAACCTAAGGATGATGGTGGCTATGTTTTGTTGTCCAATGTGTATGCCTCTTGTGGGAGATGGAGTTATTCGGACATGGCCAGAGTGATCATGGAAGGAAGAGGAATAAAAAAGACTGTAGGTTGGAGCAGTGTGGTAATTGATGGGGTCCTTCATGCTTTTGTTTCTTCAGATAAGAGGCATCCAAATTGGGATGAAATTCGTAATGCTCTATGTCAGTTGCATGAGGAAATGACTCTCCTTGCCGACGCCAGGTGAAGTATTCCTCAAATTGAGTGATTGCTAAAATTATAGCTTCTTCAACCTTCATGCTTTGCAAGCAGTTATGTCAGGTACACCTCAACAAAATTCACAAGTAGTTTTATTCTCTCTTTTTTAGGAGAACATTTATTTTGAGTAAAATCTCATTAATTCTTCTCCCATGATTCTTATAGTTTATATTGGTGCTTAAAGGAAGTGAAGTCTGACAATTTAATAAGCTGCAGGTAAGAAAAAAACTCTTGTCCAATCTTTTGCCTTGCTTAATATGATTTCAATTATATTGGTTAGTTTCTCCAGCAGAGAAATGCTTCTGTTTTAGTTCATAACATTGTTTTCTATCTCCTTATTTTTTCTTCTTGGAAATGCTTAGGAAAATCTCTCTGATGGTAGGATTATTTGACGCAACACAGGTGGAAGAAGCCGTTTCAAGAAGTATTTTGAATGCTCAAAATCATTCTCTCTTTCCTTCACTTATGATTCCTCTTAAGATCCAAGAGTCCTCTCGCTTCCTTATGTCCTTAAGCCAAGCCATAAATTCTAGGGAGTGAATCAAATGAGAACTAAAGTTAGGATGGATATTGGTTGTCAAATCCATTTTGTAACTTAAAAGCTTAAGTTTATAAGTGATGGTTGATCACTTGTTATTCCTACATCAATATATTTTTCAGCTAACTGATGTGAGACAAAACAAAAAAATTAATTGAGAATTTTATTCTCAAAATGACACAATGGAGACAAATGATTTATGTAGCTGATCCCATGTAATGAGATAAAAACTTGATGTTATTCTTGTTGTATTCTCATAATCGAGAGAGTTATTCTCCTTTATTTGTTTCTTTTTTCATTCTCAAGTATGTTTATTTATGAGCTCTCCATATTAAATCAATAATACGCAGATATTCACTTCTTCTGGTTGAATCCAGTTCTTGAATTTCACTAAGCGTTGGATATCATCAACATGCTTTATTTTACATGATGTATTAGTTTTGATAGTGTATTTAGGGAGAATTATCTATTTTCCACATCATATTAAATATTCATCAGAGATTTTTTAACTGAAATTTGGTTGCTAAAACAGTTGAAAGAAAGCTTAATTAAGGCTTAAAGCCAACCATCAAAGCTTTTGGGCTCAAAAACCCTGCTGTTCACAAGTAGACTGAATGATGTTAGCTCAAATTGTAAGCTTCCGCTTCTCTTCTTTTCCATGTTTATCAACTATATTTGTGCTTCTTATATAAATGGTTTCTTATATAAATTCTTATCCTCTCAACTACAGCCTATGCTTGGAAGTTTCAAGTAACTGTTAAAATCTGTTCATGGATGCGGAACCATTGTAGTCTTTTTACGAACGCAGAAGATAACTTTCAACTATTTTACCTAATAGAGAGAAATCTAAGAGGTAAGCTTCATCTAAAAATATGTTCATGTAGATTGATCACTGGCCTCGTATCTTCATCAAAGCTTTTACAACAGATATATGGTTTAGGATGGTTTTACTTAATAAAAAAATATGAAACAATCAAAGCTCCATCTCCTTATCAAACCATCTCCTAATTATAGTTTGCATCAATGAAACAAAGAGGTCGGCCTTTCTTATAGTGGTTGGTCGACAGTTAATGGATTGCTTCCTTCTCTATGTACTCTCAGCTGCTAAATTCTTAAATGTAAACTCCATCTCTTTTTAGTTCTATCTCGCACTTATTATGTTTTTTCCTTATTGTGTGAACTTAAATTATCATATTTCAACATATAATGAAGAATTGCTTCTCTTCTTTTGGGACGTTTTATTTTTCTATTTCTTCTCCCGAATACGTGAAGTCACATGATTGATTTATTTTTTGCAGTTATTTTCTCTCCATGAGAACTTGGTTTGAAGTCATTAATGCGAGAAACTTGTTGCAGGACTTGAAGGGGAAAAGAAAAAAGGTTCAACCTTGGTGAATTCTCACTCTCAGAATATTTTATTTCTAATGTCATTCTTTATGTTTCTTCTATTGTTTCTGCGAATTCATTCATTTTCATAAAAATTAAATCTACTTGAATGATCTAGTTTGCAGTACCTGGAACTTGCTTTCTTTTAGCTAGTCATGAAATTACTTCTAACAATTACTTACTTTTACACCAAGAAAATCAGAAAGCTGCTTCTTCTTGAAGTACCAAACAATCTTGCTGATAATTTCTCAGATGTTAATGGGAAGTAAAAGAAAATTCATAAAGCATTGTTGAATCCAAATTTATTTGTGAATCACAGTTATACTAAGTGTACTAGATGGAAAAAGAGTAGGGATTGTTACGTCTTCAAAAAATTATCTTGATCGGGCATCTCCAGGAAAATCAAGTTGGAAACTTCCAAAATTAAAATTGTGACATTCCGAACTCCGATTTTAGCAAACTTACAGGCGAGCTGAACGCCTTGGAAATACGAACCCTATGACACCAAATTCAACCCAATCCAAGCCCAAATGGGTCCAAATCAAGGGTCTAAAGCACTGTTGGAAGGTTCGAACCACAATGTGGATTACCAAATGGTTTCCAAATGTGACATGCTTATAGTCGAATCGAGTGGCTCGACGAGATGAATCCAATGAGCCCAAGATCACTAAATTCCGACATCACTAAGACATTCAAATGTTCATCGAACGGTCCACAATCAAGGGATTCAACATCAGCTGTCCATCCAACCCACTCCCTTTTTACCCTTGATCTTCCTCCTATTTACGGGCCATGCCACTCTAGGAATTCTATAAATAGACCCCTTCTTTCTCTTGAAAAGGGAGGCCCCCAGCAAGAGAGCAAGAGAGAGATCAGAGATCGCTCTTGCCTCCTCGCTCTTCCTCGACCACCACTCGGACTTCTGCCGAACCACCACCTGAGGCCCGGACTTCTGCCATATCTAAGGCCTAGACTTCTGTTGACCACCACCTGAGGCCCAGAGTTCTGCTAGACCACCACCTGACACTAAAGGTCCATCGAGCCACCATCTGACACCAGAGTTCCGCCAAGCCACCACATAACACCGGATTTCTGTTGGAACATCACCTGAAATCGGAGTTCTGCTGAACCACCACTTTATGTCAAGAGTTTCACCGGACCACCACCTGATGCCCGGAGTTCTGCCGAACAACCACCTAATGCCCAGCGTTTTGCCAGAACACCACCTAACACTAGAGTTTCATTAGACCACAATCTACTGCTAGAGTTCTGTTGGACTACCACCTGACATCAGAGTTTTGCAGAACCACCACTTGGCACCTAGAGTTATGCTGGACCACCAATTGACACGTAGAGTTTAGTCAAACCACCACTTGATGCCAAGAGTTCTGCCGGACCACCACTTGAGAACTGGAGTTCTGCCGAACCACCAATTAATATCGTAGTTAACTGGACCACCAACTGACATTCTAGTTTTTCCAAACCACTATCTGATGCCTTGAATTTTGCCAGACCACCGGTTGACACCTGGAGTTTCATTGGACCTTCGACTGACATCGGAGTTTTTTCAAACCACCTCCAAACTACCAAGAGACACCCAAACTTCCAAGTCTTATCGGACTTCCGCTGGACCACCAAGTGAGACCAAACATTCATCTTACTCTCACTTGTGACTAGACTTCAATCATACGGTTAACATTTGTAATATGTTCACTCTCGGGAATGAGTCAGCCTACTATACTTTACTAAAATTCTAGTATAATCATTTTTCAACTAGGCGAGGCCCTGTGGTTTTTATGTTTCTAGGATTCTTCACGTAAAAAGTCTTATGTTCTCTATGTGTGAGCTGGATATCAGTACCATGCTAAGACGTAGAACTATAGCTCTATCATAGAGTATATTCAGCACACAATTATTATTATTATTATTATTATTATTATTATTATTATTATTATTATTATTATTATTATTATTATTATTATTATTATTATTATTATTATTATTATTATTATTATTATTATTATTATTATTATTATTATTATTATTATTATTATTATTATTATTATTATTATTATTATTATTATTATTATTATTATTATTATTATTATTATTATTATAGAATGACAACAACATGTATATCACTCAAAATCACCTCAATTCACGTTATTTCTCAATTTGCGCATTGTTGCCTCAGAATGTATGTTGATTTTCTTGGACTATTTTAATTGAATAAATTGATAGTGATTCTTTGGTATTGATGACATTTTGAATGCAATGGTGAAGTCTGTTTTACGATCAGACGGCATTAGGGCAACGTTCCGTATTAATTTCGGATGTCGGTCGTCGGTTTTGACCGATCTTGCTTAGAGTGTTGATCATCTTATTTGACCATGCTAAGATGTCCTCATTACAACAACACAATCCATTTGACAATCATAGGTCATTTGGTCCTTCAAGTGATGTGTTGCGCCAACGTGTGCGTTGCTTAAGTCACATTTTTTACCTCTTATCTCATGTTTTGATGTGTATGAGTCAACATTACTATGCTTTATTTTGTTCATTACTTTATGATGAGCTGGTTATATAAGAAATATACAAACATTTAGGTATCTCTTTGTAAATCAATATGCGATGCTCCTATTTATTTTATTTTATTTTTAATATATTGAACTTTGGCACTTAGTATTGATAAAAAAAAAACGTAGATCTTGACTTAGAACACCTAAAGTCCATCATTGTCTCATCCTCCATGCACTTTTCCTCTCCTCCATAAAAGGAGACCAAAGTTAATTAATTGGGCTATTTTATCCATGCAATCACATGGTCTGTCTGTGTTATAATGTATTCTAAGATTTTGCTAAAATTTAAGTTTGCAGTGAACTTTAGCTGTTTCACTCTAACGTATTTAATGCATAGAGGACACAACTTTGAATTTTTTTAGCATTTCTGATTCAAGCTTTAGAGTAATTAATAACTCTTACCAACTCTTTAGTACTTTGTTATCGGAGTTAAAGTTTATTTAGTTTTATTTGGGATGCCTGTAATTTTTTTACGAAGATAGTTGTTGTATGTTTGGACAGTTCTTCCCGTCTGGA